TAAGGATAAAGAGTCAAGCAAGGTAGTCTAACTGCCATTTAATCCAGTAATATCATTTGCAGAAACAATGAGGTTCAATTTAGCTTACAATGTAAAAACAGAGTATGACTCTTCGACAAAATATCTTGGTGCATGATCTCTCAAGTTATTAAAAGCCCGCAATTGTTAAACCGCCTCCAAATAGATAAAGCTTTTTATGAGAGGTACTTACGTCTGACATTGAGCGCTGTAAGGTGACCGCCATTTTAAAAAACCTCTGTAGCCGCATAAGAGTACAGTTAGAAGGCCGAAAAAAAGTAAATTTTCCAGAAGTTTTTCGGAAAAAACTTTTAAATTTATTGATCCAAAAATTTTTACACATATTATGGTATATTTTAACTATATTTTTAGACTTAGTACTAGTAAAAAAATTTATTTGTAAAAGAGCGTCAGCTGATCTCCGGGAGCTCCTCTTAAAAAAGACGTTTTGCGGTGACCACTATATCTCTGAACTGGATCATCTGAAATTAAAAAATCAAACAGATTTCGTTAAAGTAATGTTTAATCTATGTAGTAATTAATAGAAGGAATAAGCAAAATAAACATTTTGGACGAAATAACGCTTTCACAAAAAAAAAATCGATTTTTCGCCGAAATTACGGCATTAAATTGTTTATAATAACAAAAATATTTATCGGAGCGAAAAAACTTCGATTAATTACTAAAAAATATATTTAAGAAGCTCGTGTTAAAATTTGACTAATCGGCTTAGCCGTTTTCCCTTCGGAGAAAAACGCGTTTAAAGTTTGGAATGCACTTTACGTAGGATAAAAATTTTATTCAAATTTGCGTGTAACTTCGACAACATTCACCGGAACGATATAAAATTATCTGTGTGTATTCTTAAATATACATACATATATATATTAAAAAAAATCGATTTTTTGAAAATTCTAACTGTATGTAACCCCATAAGTTCGACACTGGGTTCATCGCATTCGGCAAAATGCGCGTGTGAAGGTCGCCTTTAGGTCGTCTCCTACTTTTTAAGTATGTACTCACAATTGCGTTACTCCAACATGCCTCCACATCAAAAGTTTAACGAGCACTATAGATAAATAAAGCAATGAAACAAAGGAAAATGGAAATAAAAGCCCGCGAAATACTCACTTACAACAAGTATACAAGAAAGAGGCAAACAAATTTTCAAATGAATTGGAAAATTGCAAATTACAAATGGAGCAAACAAATTTTTTTAACAGTAAATATGTACATACACACATATCCGGAGATACATAAGTAGATGAGTATGTAGTATGGGTAAAAGGTTGGTATGGAAACGCCTTTAATGCACTCTTATCCTGGACTCCCTCTAATCAGCGACAGCCAAGAGGTAAAGAATTAAGACACAAATAAGAAGACGGCGCAAAATGTTTTCCTCTTCATAGCAGTACATGACGTAGCGGAGAAAGTATGCACATTAGCAATAACGCCTACGTCAGCGTTACCATCTCATTTAACCGCCACAGAAGTTATAGCCGTTGCTTTGGAGATGGCGAACGGGTTGATTGGCATTATTGACGAAAAACTTGGGTATGCCAAAATGAGTGGGCGGGTGAGACACAATAAATATACCAGTAAAGCACTACTGAGACACAATTGAAGGAGGTAATTCGGTTATTTTCGTTATTTCGTCTATTTTGATATGCGCGAAAGGGGCGGGAGCTTTTGTTGTACTGTTTTAAGTTTCATTTGCCCATTCGAGAATTTTGATGACATAAACGATTTTTGTAGAATCGTAGCAAACTCTATGGTATATCCACATTCTCATAACAATATTTGTGGAAATATATGTAAAGCTTAAGCAAGATTTGCTGCCATGCGACCAGTTGAACTCCAAATTAGATACCTTCGATGCAAACTAAATGAATATATCCACACAATTTAACATTGCATAATTCTCTGCATCCTTAATTTTCTTAATCGCAGTCGTAGTTGTAGGGTACGTTCAAGCCAGAGGACACTAGATAATTTTTTGCTGAGTTGACAGTATTGTGTCTGAGTTATCAATAAACCGCTGAGCTAGTCTTCATTGCGCCAGGCTGAGTTCGAGAATCGTAACTGCACCCAACTGCTTCGATACAACATGAAATGAATTCAGGAACGACAGCAAGACAAAATAGCTTATGTCTAGTGAGCTAAGCGACAACAATAAATGAACCGAGAGGTACATATCCCTCGTTAGCCCGTGACTGGAGCAGACGATGTCGAGGAGCTCAGTCAATTGGGAAGAACAAAACCAAATGGAGTAAACTTAAACAGTACAGGACTTAACGTTCGCCATAACAGTAATCCAGATGGTGATCAAGAATATACTGTCTAGATAAAGACTTACATAATATAGACTTAAAAAGCTCCTCAAACTGTCCTTGGCTACCTCATACCAAAAGGTTTGTAGTAATTTTACTCGGACAGAGGCAACACCGGTGCCAACATATTACCTAGGTCGTCATAGCGAAAATCCACAGACCTTTGACAAAATTTGTTTATGCATTGGAACTGAAGAACAAAAGAAGGGAAGGAGTCCAAGGTGTGGCTGCGTAAAATTACAAATTCTTTGAATTAATTTAGAGTGAAGATCGCTTTTGAAACGAGAACAACGAAGTTAAAATTAGTAATAAGGATATAGCGCAAATTTGTGGGGGGGCCTAATAAAACTTTCGCCAACAAGTAATAAAATGTAGAAATAGAGGTTTTCCAAAATAACGGCGAAATTTATGAGTTCTACTATACCAAATAAACACAGCGCGGATGACACGTGCGATGTTTGACGTTTTCTGACGTAAAGAAAGCGAAAAGATAATAAAGAAGAATAAAGAAATTGATAAGAATACCAAGTTCATTTAATAACTTTAGTTAACTGTTTTGATTATCTATTTTTAAAGTTTTTACCTGTTCCGCTATTAATAATTTATACAATTGATTGCATTGCATTTAACGCCAGCACATGACAAGGACACCAGTGATACGTTTACTAAAAGTAGTTGACTACAATTGGAATATAAACAAATTGACAAGAAAAACATTAAGCAGCCTTTCACATACAGTCTTGCAAACAACCGTTTCAAGTTCAAATAATATGTCATTGAACGCAGCAAAACGCATTGCCGCTCACCGCGCCATCGACGAGTGGGTAAAGACAAATACCGTCGTAGGTATTGGTAGTGGTTCAACCGTGATATATGCTGTGGAGCGCCTTGCTGAACGAGTGCATAAAGAAGGTTTGAAGGTGACCTGTGTGCCAACAAGCTTTCAAGCACGCCAACTCATTGTGGAGAATAACTTGGTACTCGGTGATCTAGATCGCAATCCTAAACTAGCAGTGGCAATCGATGGCGCAGACGAAGTGGATCGGAATATGGTACTCATAAAGGGTGGTGGCGGTTGTCTACTGCAGGAAAAAATTATAGCGTCATGCGCTGAAAAGTTGATAATAATAGCAGATTATACAAAGAATTCAGAACATTTGGGTGAACAGTACAAAAAGGGCATACCCATTGAAGTAGTGCCAATGGCATATGTCCCGATAAGAGAGCGCATTGCTGCTAAATATGGTGGAGAGCTGAAACTTCGCATGGCAGTAGCTAAGGCCGGACCTTGTGTAACGGATAATGGCAATTTCATACTCGACTGGCATTTCAAACAAAATTGCGACTGTGAATGGGCAAAGGTTAACAGCGAACTGCTGCAAATACCTGGAGTAGTCGAAACGGGATTATTCGTGAATATGGCGACCAAAGCATATTTCGGCATGAATGATGGTAGCGTTAAGACACAGGATAAGTAATTTACTTAATGTAAGAATGCAGAATCCAAACACTCAGGATAAATATTGCGAATTTATATGATATTATGGATGTACACATAGTATTTAAATTTTTATGTTCCTAAATTTGTTACGTTTCTTGACACATAAGCAAAAACAAAATACGAGATAGTTTCGGTGTAAATTCTATAATTTATGTTTAATTAATAAATAATTCAATTACCAAGCTTTTCCAACTTAACAAAAATGTTTTGGTAACAGTCCACATTTTCCAGAATTTGCAAGCAGAAATTTTCAGAAAGATTTCTTGTTTCTTGTGGGTAATAAACTATCCTTAGCATAGTTAAAAAGCGTTAACAGCCCTTGTTTTTTCCCACGGCTGAAATAATTCGTAACCACATCTTGACTTCCTATGATTATATTAAGTGAGCACTTTAAAGCAAAACGTAAGTTCACATAACCTACCCATACTGTCATTAACCGTAGTCGGCAGCACATTATCGTTTGCACTCAGGGACACGAAGAGTGCAAATGGCACCAGCCAGAGACATATTGTAAAATATGCCAAAATCTAAAAACATAATTTTTTTTAATTATTACACATATAAGGACCGTGGGTATCTGCGCTTACCTGTATGAACGGGTAATAATAGCTGGTGAAGTACTGGAAGGCGAGCATATGGTTAATAATCAGTAATACTACTGCTCCAGTAAAAGGAACTGACAGGAACCGTATGAATGGGAAATTGCTCATAATTATCCCGTGAAATATTTGCGCTGCAAGACCACACAGTATCATCTTCCATGGTAAATTGTCAAAGAATATAAACATTATATACACAAATACGGTTGCACCGATCATCATTGTGATTAGCTTTCGAGCAGTTTGTGTGTACTCTTCCACCAATTCAGCGACATAGTATAGACCCGCCGCTATAATAAATAAATAATTATCTCCTACAAAAAGGCATAAATTCTTGCATACCAATCGATATTGTAATGAAAACAATATGTATCACCGTGGATATCCAACTCAGTATATACAGAAAAGACATATTGAGCTTGATCCGCAATTTGTTTTACTTATTATTCTAAACAGTTGTTGATTTTAAAGAAATTGAAAATTTTGTTTATTAAGAAAAGAATGCAAAAGTAAAACGTCAGCGGCCGCCTAATTGAAGTTCTTGAATCAGCTGTTTGATCCAAGCTGCCAATCACGGAATCGGGTAAACATAAATGAAAAAGTTTGAAGCGTGCCATATTCGAAGCTAATATGAGTAATAATAATAATTTCTTATCTAAAAGTACGTAGAGCATAAATTAAATTAATAAATATTTGAAATTTTCAAATATAATAATTTTATGTATACTGAATGATAAATGTGTTGTTTAGCTGTACCTGAGTATTTTGTTTGTTACAATAAATATCTTCGTATGCTGATATGGCAGCGCTGACACAGTATTAATTTGACAGCAGCGAAAAAAGCGCGTGCATTTTCCTTCTGCTTAGTTCAGTGGAATTTCTTTTATGTGAAACACAAATTTATCAATAGTTTTACGATTTTTGTTTCTTTATTTAATTACTAAAAATAAGTGCAAATTAACAAAAAACATTTGTTTATAAACAGAAGTGAAAAGTTATTCGTCGAATTACGAATTAGTTTTAACCTTGAATTGTACTGAACACCAATTTCGCAAAAAATTGAAAGGGGTGATTACAGCAACAACAACAACGATAACTCGTACACGCGAACTCAAAAGAAGGAAAACTTCCGTTCTTTGCTCCGACGTGTGTAAAAGTTTTGTTAGGTTAGGACTATATTTGTACAAAAAGATAAAGTTTGGCATTAAATGCCGCCCAATAACGTAGAGCCAGTTGAGCATCAACAAGGTGATGCCGAAATGCGTGATGCAGAAGAAATTCAGCCAACAACGTCAACAGCGCTTGCCAACAACGTCAACACGACGCAAAATCAGGATACGAATAGTAGTGAAGTTGCCAGTAATACACATGATGAGCAAGCACAAGCAGAACCAAATGCAGACACAGATACCGAGATGAACGGAGCTGAGGAGAGTGAGTCTAATGGCCGCAACGAAGCTAATGAGAATGCGGCCAATGAAGAGGCAGGTGAAAATGGAGAGGGTGGAGCTGGTGCAGCGGCTGAGGCTGATCCATTTTATGGGTTCGAAGATGAAGAACCAAATTTCGATACTAAGGATATGTCGCAAGTGTTGCAAATTTGGGAAGCACAACATACACGCTCCGGATTCGATCCAGTGCCAGTGTTGAAAAGGTAAGTGACTGCACGCATACATAAGAGTACATGCCTTTAGGTTTGTTCGTCTAAGCTTATGCACGCAAACAGGTTTTGTATTGCTTGCAAAAATAATGTTGATCGAAGCAGAATAAACGTGCTCTTATTTGTTGTCTTTCTAGATTGTTGTAAGCATGTTTTTGTTATTACTTTTTTGTCACTTATTTATTGTTGTGTCGAAATGAGTGATTAAAAGATCTAAAAATAGTTTAGTACTTGAATGAACAAAGAGCACGTTAATTTACATATATAACTGTTTAATTAAACCTCGGCTACGTAAATAATAATAAAAATTAATATTTTGACTATTTATTAAGATTGGCCGAAATCTTCGAAAAAGAAAAGGAAATTTATATGCGTAAAAATCACGATCCATTTGAGGATCGACATCCCTATCGTACTGATCCCAAGTGCCAATTTGGTGTACTACTAAAGCAGCTCTTCCGCAAAGATGCATTCGTGAGTAAGGTAACGTACACAATGTGTTGACTTTTTGCAAACTTTTTTTATTAATTTACTTTTTGACTTTTAGCTAGTAAGCGACTATCTGCGTGATAATTTCTTTACTCGCCAAAATATACAAAAAAGTTCCTTAGAACTTAATATACTATCATGCCGCCTAATATTCATAATTACACCTGGTTTGGAGACATCTGCCGTATTTCAAGGCGAATTCGAACATCTGATTCATAGAATTTTCGGTTGGGCCGAAGATAGTATTGAGCCTTTACAAAGTTATGCCACCGGTCTGCTAGGTGCCGCTATGGAGGTAACCGAAATAGCAGTGTCATTCAAGGAACGCAATGTACGACTCATACCGAAAATGCTAAAACGTCTACATATGTTACAAGCGATCTACAATTCTGGCAATGAATGTAGCATTTCAATTCTTGCGCCACCACCGCTACCACCATCCGAAACGAATTCACCTAATGATTCATTTGAACAATTTCTGGCGCCTTGGATTGCTAACGACACAGCTTCCGTGTCTTCGCCCCAATCGGAGAATAATGCCAAAGCAACAACATCGCAAGCTTCGAAAAGTACATTATTGGACACACATTGTTCGAATTCGAACATGTCGACTTTGCTAGAGAACAGTCGTGATGCCTTCCCTCAAGGCAGTGGTTCGCACTACTACAAGAAAATGTACATACCACTGCATCCGCCCACCGCCGAATCGAGTCAAATGCTAATGTTACATTATTTAACATCACTCGGTAACCATCAAGATTATTTAGGTTTGGTTTTCGAACATCGTGCTATGCAATTAGTATTCGGCTATTTAGAGAATTTGGATAGGCGTGACACTTGTCTAGCCTTTGAGGCGCTCAGATATCTGGCTTCATTGCTTTGTCATAAAAAATTCGCTCTAGAATTCATTGCGCACGGTGGACTTGAGGTAATTGAATTTGTTTACATTGCATAAATCTTAACATAAACTAATTCATTTAATTGCATTTTAGTTGCTGCTTAAAGTGCCGCGTCCCAGCATTGCAGCTACTGGCGTTTCTATAAATCTCTACTACCTCGCCTACTGTGAAGAGGCCATGGAACGCATGTGCAGCATGCCACGAACTGTGATAGTCGAATTAGTGCACTACGCGCTTTGGCTAATGGAACGCTCTTATGATTCGGGCGTTTGCCATGCGACCATGTTCTTTGGTCTAAGTTTTCAGTTCAAAGTCATTTTGGATGAATTCGATGCGCAAGATGGTTTGCGAAAGCTCTACAATGTGGTATGTACATATATGCATTATATATACGCACTAACGGCATTGTAAGACGAATTTTTTTATATATTTTTTTTTATTAGATTTCGATACTAAAAATTTTGAATCCATCAAACAACGATGATGACGAGAACCCTATTAATGATGATTTGGAATGCGCTTCACGTCAACTCGTGCGTCATGTGTGTGTGGCGCTCAAACGCTACATGGAGAGTCATCTTTTCTACAAGTACAATAACTTTATGCGTCAACAATGCTTGTTTTCCACCGAGTTCTCGCAACATATTGTCACCAAAGCGGCGAAACTAAGTTTGGAGCAGATCAGCGAACAGGTGCGCACATTACAGGAGAACACATCGGTGCGCGCACATTGGGCGCCCGTGGACAAGCTGTTGAAAGTGAGCGGTATAACATTGCTGCTGAAAATCATAGCGCTTTCCTACGACTGGAACAACAGTGTCAGGTATATTTGTAGTAAATTGCTTAAGAGACATTTCCCCCCATAATGCAATACTAATGACAACAACGTTTTAGATCCGAAATAGTGCGCTCCGCCTTGGATGTGCTGTCAATTTGCTGTGTCATACCGTGCGTATTTCACATTTATTGCGAGCGCTTGGATGTGCCAGATAGCGCCGGTGCCTCAGGTATTTACTTCATATTGGCTGCTGCTTCGGGCGATATCACTGCAGACGCCGATGTGCAAAAATCAGCTTTGGCCGTCTTGGTCCATTGCGTCTGTGCACCGCTGTCGCGGGTAAGCTTAGCTTTATAAAGTTAAAGCAAATCTTTCAATATTATCTTTTGTGCTTTACAGAAGGAACCAAATACCGTCATCAAAGTGTTCCACTCATCCAAGGTATGCTTAATAACAACAACAATATTACAGATAAATTTTTTACGCCTCGTTTGCATTGCAGAAAGAGCCAAGTAACGCAGCGAAAGGCAACAATTCGTCCAAGCGCAACAAACCAGCAAATCGCTATTGCGAAGAGCTAATCGAGAAGGTTTGGGAGTCGGTGTGCTCCAATAACGGCATTATTATATTGCTCTCGTTGATGCAAATCAAGGCGCCCATTACCGATGCGGACTGTATTCGTGGCATGGCCTGTCGCGCTTTGGCCGGTCTGGCGCGCTCGGAGCGCGTAGGCCAAATTGTCGGAAAACTAACACTATTTTCGAACGGACAAATACAGACGCTAATGCGCGATCCCATACTGCAGGAGAAACGCGCTGAGCATGTCTTATTTCAGAAGTACGCCATCGAGCTCGTTGAACGCGTTTCGGGCAAAACAAAACCCATTTCCAATAAAATGGATCCCTCACTTGCCAACATACACAAAGCCAATGTGATCGCGCAAACGAAAATCCAATATAACGAGCAGCAGCTTTATCAACTGATACACGATCATCTGGAATCGAAGGGTCTGCTGCAGACGGCGCAAATGTTGCAGAAGGAGGTGGGCCTCCCGCAAACGTCCGCGAACATCGCGAAAAGCTTCCATCAATCGCCGTTCGACTACAAAGTATTGCCTTCATCATCGGCGCGCCAGCGTTTGCGCAGTCGCATGCAAGACGTCAACAATGCCATACAGAATATAGCGAATTCAGCAACAAGTGATCAGCAGCAACTGAACAACAGCATGACAATGGATGAGCTGCCGAGCAGCAGCAGCACGGTAACGCCAATTAAATTAGTGAAAAAGTCAGAGAAAATATCCACCAGCACTAGCAGCGCCAGTGCTTTGGCCATTGCGAATGCGAATGCGCAACGTTCCTTGCAAAAGCAAATATCCTCACTGCCAGAGGACGTGCGTTCGGAGAACGGTTCGCCGCCGCCGCAGCACGGCAATCAGACGGGCATCACGCTGGGCACCATCGTCACCGAGTATCTCACGAATCAGCATGCTTTGTGCAACAATCCGATGACCACATGTCCGCAATTCGATTTATTCACGCCACACAAGTGCCCGGACCCCAAGCCCAACCGCTCGGGCGATAATCTAAATTTAACAGCGCGCATTTTCAAAGCGCAAGCCGGTTATAATACAGCGCGTCTGGATCGTCGCTATGTGCATTCGAACTTCGCGCCCTGGCGTTCGGTGCGCTCCAACGACTTCCCCTCGCTGCAGTTCTCCACGTGTGAGATTGTGTCGCCCTCCAAACTGCTGCTCGTCGGCACGCATCGCGGCGAAGTGAAAGCATTCAATCTCTCCACCGGCACTGAAGTATTCTCCTCCGTATGCCACAGTTATGTGGTCGATTCTATCATTTCGAACCGCGCTGGCGACCTGGTGTTGACCTCGTGCTCTTGGCGTTCGCCACTCAGTGTGCTCTGGTCTATTCAACATAACGAGTTCACGACGAAGCTCAGCTTTGGCGACGACTACTATTGCGAATTCAACAATTTAACGCAGGACAAAGTGCTCGGCACGCAAAATGATGTGAGTCCACGCGCCTTTCAATTATATTTAGATTTTTTAATTTTGCTCATCCACATTTACAATTTATCGATTACTGTAGTGCGCCATCATTTACGATATAAATACGGGAAATAAGATTTCCAATTTTAGGCCAACGCTTAGCAATCAGTATGTCAAGAATCGTGCCACCTTCTGTCCCACCGACGAGCTCATTCTGTCAGGTAAGTTTTTCACCGCGCTCCAAGCGTAGAACAAAATACTAACTGGCTCGGCTTTCAGATGGTGTACTATGGGATGTGCGTTCCGGCAAGGAGATACACAAGTTCGACAAGCTGAATCAATGTCTTTCCGGCGTATTCCACCCGAACGGTTTGGAGGTATTGTGCCGCATTAATAACTAAACTAACTAACTAACTAACTTATAAACTAAATGCTTTGAATTGCAGATTATTTCAAACACCGAAGTGTGGGATCTGCGTACATTCCATCTGCTGCAGACGGTGCCGGTGCTGGATCAGTGTTTCCTGAAATTCTCGCCGATGCGCGTCATCTACAGCTACAATGCGGAAGCGTCCGATGAGCGGATCGATGCGATGCTGGAGGAATTGCCTGCCTGTGAGACTAGTTTTAAGGTTCTGGACGCGTACGATTACTCATCGATATCGACGATAGACGTGCGACGCGGCATCTACGACATGAGCATAAGCGATAATGGCAGTCTGATTGCGCTGGTGGAGAACCAGCCGGCGTTCGATTCGCGGCCGGAGACTTTCGTTAAAATCTACGCTGTGGGCATGAAGAAGATCGAGAATCAAGATGAGGTGCGTCATGGCGACGCGTCATGCATGGGCGTCGGCGTCGGCAATGACGCTAGCAATAGCACAGAACGCGCTGCAGCGCATGCGGACGCTGACAACTATGATGACGACGACAATAACGCCATTATAAATATTGATATTGACGATGATGATGGTGATGGTGGTGGAGGTGGAGGAGGTGGCGGTGGCGGTGGCGTTCGAGGTCTTGACCTTGCCGCTGCCCGCAACCAGAACGACGATGACGATAACGCCGACGTAGTTAACAATCGTCGTGCCGGTGATCATATTCGTCGTTTTGGACGCATACGCGAAATCAATATCGACATCGACGCAAGTCGGCGACACAACGGCGGCAGCGGTAGCGGCGGCGGTGGTGAAGAAATCATCGTGAGCTTTCGCAGCTCAGCGTTGCCCGCGGCCGCCAGTGGCAATGGCGGCGTCGGTGTAATGATCGGTCGCGGTAGCAATGGTCATGCTGCGCCACGTCCCAGTGCCGCTGGCGGTGCACGCAGCGCTAGATTAGCACCAGCTGCAGCAGCAGCAGCAGCCTCAAGCAGAGGTAGTGCGGGTAATGCGTTACGCATCAATCGCAACAATCGCGCTGTTGCAGGCCGAGCGATCGGCGGTGGTGCCGGCGGCGGCGTCGGCGGAGCCCTGGCTGTTAATGGCAACGCTGTGCGCGCCGACCTAGGCGCTGGGATTGACGCGGCAGCACAAGACCTCATCGATGCGATTTTGAATAATTGGTTATCTCTGCTTTCAGGAAGATGATGAAGAGCCTGAGTCTGATGAGGATGGTTCGGACAGCGATTCAACAGACAGTGAGTATCACATACAGTTATTCGTGGTTGTATATGTGCGAATGCATGTAATATCTAATCTTTTTTTGTTTTTTTTTTTACAGTTTTTGATATCAGCGATGGTCAGCTTCGTTTTCGTCGACGCAATCGTTCGGACGGCGATGACGACGACGACGACGAAGATATGGATAGCGATGATGATAGCGACAACAACGACGGTGATGACGATGACGGCGATGGTTGGGTAGATGTCAACTCACATTCGTCCATGAGCGATGACAACGACAACGACGACGGCGATGACAATGAGCAAGCTCAGCGCGTATCGTCATCGTCGGACGATGAGATTATGGAAATACATTTTCGGCCTTTCTAGAAACTGTCCAACGCTACTGTCCATTGCTCTTGGAGCATATTAAACATAAAATGCTCGTGAAACCAATGTAAAAATGCATGCAAACTTTCCACCATCTGTTGATGCGCTTAACGTCTAGAGTTTGAAGCAAAAGTGTAGCAGTTCTAATATTAATTTTGTTCTGGAAACAATAGTGATTTGTTAATAATACCACAACAATAACAACAGATGCTAGAAAGACTACCACAATTCAAGAGCAAAGCAAAATTTTTGTTTATCCATTTGTACTATAAGTTATAATTTCATTAGTTGCCGTGTATAGTAGTTAGTCTCATCGAAATACAGAAGCAAAGCAAAGCAAAGCAAAACACAAACGCATAAAGCCGCGCGTCTAAAACCGCGAATACGAGTGAGTAATAGCAAATGTTTTTTATTTTAGTTTAAATTATTCTAAATCTAAAAACTTATATTTTTTAAAAGTTGTAAAGTACAAGAGCGCTCACTAAGTTTTGTATTTAAATATTTGGAGCAAGTAATTAATTACAAAGAAAAATATAATAATATAAATCCTTCGTTCCTTTTCGCATGTTCAAATGCCGATATTTAAAAGAAAAAAAAAACAGAAATAAACAACGTCGTTTGCAATGTTTCTCTTCGATGTTCTATTATTATTAGAATATTTGATTATTCCTTTTTTATTATATGTTATACTGTTTGTTTCAAAACATAAATTATTATATAAGACGCGTAAATGATATTTCAATGTAACAATTGTAATTGTAATGCGCATGCGCGTCAGTTTATTACTGCATTTCTTTTTTGTAAGAACTTAAAAAAAAATCAACAAAACAAAGATAAACACAAAAAATATCGAAATAAAATTATATATTGTATGTAAATAAAAGTAAATTGAAATTATCCCTACTTCGCATAACTAACGGTTGTTCGGTTGCTGTGAAGTGATAGGAGAAAGAGAGAGAGATAGCGAGAGAGAGAGACCCATTGAATTTTGCTTATCATTTTTGTTAACAGTTAAATATCATCCTCAGATATTTCAAAAAATTATTTTGTTCTAAAAAAAAAATTATTTTTCTTTTTAGAATTTTGTTTATATTTAAATTTATTTTTAGTTAAAGTTAAATTGTTTTCTTATAAATTGTTTATTTTTTTAAAATAAATTTCTCATACATTTTTTTTAAATTTTTATAAATGTTTTTTAATTTTTATAAATTTTTTTTTTAAATTTTTATACATTTATTTTTTAAATTTTAATACACATTAATTTTAAAATTTGATTTATTTCTTGTTTTTTTTATTGTTTTTTAATATTTTAATACACATTAATTTTAAAATTTGATTTATTTCTTGTTTTTTTTTATTGTTTTTTTAATATTTAATTATTTATTTTTTTAAATATTTAATTTATTTTTGTTTTTTAAATTTTTTTCTAATATATAATTTATATTTTTTGTTAATTTTTTTAAATACTAATTTTTTTAATATTCAATTAATTTTTTAAATATTTATATTATTAATTTATTTTTTTTTTTCTATTATATTTTTCATTGTTTTTATTCCTTTTTTTATTTATTTATTATATTTTGTTTTTGAAATTTTTTTTGTTGTTTTGTAAACATATTTTTTGTTTTTTTTTTTTTAATTTTTTTGTTCGGTTTTTAAATTGTTTGCTGTTGTTTTTTTTATATATATTTTGGTTTTTTTTTAATTTAATTTTAATTAATATTTAGTTAATTTCGTTTCTAATATTTTATATATTAGTTTTTTTTTAATATAGGTATTATTTATTTTTAATAATTTATTTATTATATTTTTTAATTATTTTATTTACTGTGTTTTATAAATTATTTATTTACTGTTTTTTATAAATTTTTTATTTATTATTATTATTTTTTAATACATTATTTATTATATTTTTTTTAATATATAATATATTATTTATTATATTTTTTTTAATATATAATATATTATTTATTATATTTTTTTTAATATATATTATTTATTATATATTTTTTAATATATATTATTTATTATATATTTTTTAATATATATTATTTATTATATTTTTTTTCTAATATAATATTTATTAGTTTTTTTGTATAAATAATGTCTTCTTTATATATTTTGTATTATAAATTATGTTTTTTTTAATAATATTTTTTTAAATTTATTTATTATTTTTTATTTATATATATTTTTATTTTTTTTTATTTATTTTTTTTGTTTTTTTTTTATTTATTTTTTTTTATTTATTTTTTTTTCAGAATTTTTGACGCATTTTTTTACCTTTCCAAGATTTATTTTTGCCTACTTTTTTATTTCTCGCCCATTTCTAAAACAAAAAATATTTAAAAATCGCATATACAATTTAATACTTTATTTTATTGTTTAAAATCAAGCTCGAGCTTATCACTACATAAATTAGACTATATTATGACATTATAAACATTTTTAACGCTAACCTACGTCTGCATACTTTTAATATTTATTTTTACAATTAATTTAATTTAATTATATTAATATTTAACAAGCGGCCGTGCCTCGTGATAATTGCTTTCCATGATAGCGTTTTTGGTCCACACTAAGCGCCCATTGATTTGGCCTTTTGTAACCTTCGATAAAAAAAGTATATGTTTAAATTTCGTTAGGTTGTCTCAAAACAGGTAGCGCTGGACTTACTTCCTTCTCAACACCTTTAGCACTATTGCACCCTCACGCACGTCCTTGAACAGGCGTATGGTTTCCGCGTGGCTCATGCCCTGCACCGAGGTGCCATTAATTTCGACTATTTCATCGCCTGAGTTTGATCAAAAAGTGGAAATTTTTGAATTCATAAAATGTATTAAACCAAAAAAGTATTCAGAGCGCGTAGCTTGACTTACCCGCCTGCAGGGTGCCATCATCCGCCGCTTGCCCCGAAGGGAATACAGTCTTTACGAAAATACCCATATTGCCTTTTGGCGAGTCACGTCCGCCCACAATGCTGAATCCCAGCGATTTCATGCCGTGTCCCTTGAAGAAAGTTATGATTTTTTGCGTTGAGCGGCTGGCGCCTGCGAAAATAGTAACAAAAAATTTAATGCAATACAATATAGCAGAAGCGCCCTTGAAGTCTCCAATAAAGTAAGAATTATGAAAAAGTAAGAAACTCGCGCTCCCTGATTCGTCAAATAGCAGCGGTTCCGCGTTGCTTGCGACCTCGCGAGATTTTTATTTCAAATTTTGGCACACGGCACTCTACCAGGCGGTCAGAATCGGCAGCAAGCAAATGCTGGCGCCAAACTCATGCAAAGTGCTGCCTACTTTCAGGCGTTATGTGTGACACAGGCTGATTCCAGAGAGTGCTTGCTTTTTAGACAACTTTATATTATTGGACGCGTTTTTCTAATTATAACATAATTTGTTAGTTAGCGCTTAGTAAACCAATTAGCTATTCATTAGTAGCGGAAATTCGATGAATTCAAAGCGAATTCGGACAAAACTTAATAAGCATTCATGACAAGCGATTTAGTGCACTTTTTCAATTGAAATATTTTGTTATTTAGTTTCCATTCACTTTATGAATATTATTTAAATTAGTAAATATATATTCTGGCGTCTCTTTTGCTGACTAAAAGAGGTCTAATTTACCCTTGCTTGACACTGATAAATTCAAATCTCAATATTTCAGTAACTTCCGTGGAAACAAAACAAAATTACAAGGATAATCCAAATTCCTAGAAGAATTCTTAACATCCCCCCTCCCCCGTCCCACTACCAACTCACCGTCGCTCATCGAAGCGCGAATAACTTCGGCCATTTCTTCGTCGCGGATTGTTAGTTTCGCCGCGGGCAATGAAGGGCGATGATATTGCAATGAATGTGTTGCCGCAGCTTTAGCACTTGTTGTTGCATTCGAATTCGAACTCGAACTGGTTAATGCTGTGGGCATAGAAGATGATGGTACGGTTAAATGTTGCTGATATAAATGGGAAGGCGTTGCGTGATGTCGCTGCTGGTGGTGTGGTTGTTGTTCGGTTAAGTTTTGGTGTTGTTGTTGTTGTTGGTAAGAAATGAGGTGATAAGGATTAGCATTTGTATTAGTGTTATTAGTGAGATCAGACGACGCTTGTTGTTGTTGTTGCTGCTGTAGCTGTTGCTGCTGTCTACGCTGATGGCGCACATCATCGTCAGTGGTGTTACTATCAGACCTTGCAGCGCCATTTGCAGGCGTTCTGGTGGCCACTGACGTCGCCCTTATTGTTGTTGTTGCTGGTGTAGTGGTACTTGTTGTTGTTTGTGTTTTAGTATTTGTACTATTAGTGGCTTTGGAGTTTTGGTAATTACTGTTATTGTTATTAGCGGTTGTGGTTGTTGCTGTTAGTCTACCGCCCTCGGTGGCGCCACCGGAAGGCGGCTGTATGAATAAACTCAAGCGCGAGGAGCTAAGACGCGAATGCGCGAAGCGTAGTGAACGATAATGCGAATTGGACAGGTTGATGGAGTTGCGCGTGTAGTGCGTGCGCGACGGAAACGCCGGCGCCTGTTGTTGTGACTTGCCGCCCGCACCATCGACAGTATCCAAAAATGCACCAGCAGCCAGTGGCGCCGACGCACCATAAGTCAGCGACGCACTACGATTGCCCGCGACGCGTCCACAACCTGTCAGCAGCTCGTCCTGCGACTGCTGTTGGTGGAGTTGCTGTTGCTGCTGAACGCGCAGCAATGCCGCGCCCTCAGAGCAACGTTTGCGCGCCAACAGCTGCCACTTTTCATCGTCACTGATTGTGTGCGTGGACAGCGATATGCTGGACGCGCGATTCGCATACACCGGCGTATACTCAGCGCTTGCATTGTACAGCGGCGTCAGCTCGAGATTGCGTTGCCCCGACGAGGAACGCGCGCGACGCCTTATGTGTTCGCCAGCAAACTCACCACCATTTGCCGTTGAGTCCATAGAGTGACGCGGTGTCGAGCAGCGCCTGTGTTGCATTAGCGGCATTGGCGTTGGCATCGAGCTCAGCGAATGCATTGTCGTTACACTAGCCAGTGAACGCGCGTCATCGTCAACATCCAGCTCACTAGCGTTGACGTCTATTACCTGCGATGATGGTCGCCGCTTCTGATGTTCATCCTCACTCTCCAGCGCCAGTTGTAGACTTTGCAGATCATAGTTTATACTGTCCGTGCTCTGAGTGCGCTGCGTATAGCTGAGCCGTTTACGGGCGCGTGCCAAATACTCACTTTGTGAATTGGCTGTGGGCGGCGCTGAGGCAGGCGCTGGTTCGTTACCACCATGCAAGGAAAGCATTGAGTTGTACGCCTGTCCGGAGCTGCCGTCAATTTTTATTTTAGTATAAAAGTCGGTGACAGTGGCAACCTCGTCGTGCGCAATCACCAAATCGATACAGTTGTTCACGAAGGTCGATAGCAGACGCTGCACGTCGGCGAAGGACTGCACGCCGCGCAAATGCTTACCGTTCACATTGACAATTTCGTCACCAATGCGCAGGCGGCCATCTCTGTGCGTGAGAGTAAAAGGTCATTTATCTGCTACAAAAAAAAATTTTAATTTTTTTAAACAAGTTTACTTACTTTTGCGCCATGCCATACGGATCGATTTCGACTATCAAGTAACGGTATTGCTGTTCATTTGTTGAGGTCATCACAGTCTTCGGCGACAAAACCAATCCAATGCAGTCTTCCTGGCACTTTCGCTCCAACTTGATTTGACGAAATCGTCGACGTATGGTCTCCGTTTCATAGTCATAGTTGTAGCCGCCCAGTGACACGGAACCACTTGTCGTGCTGCATATGCTACTGCTCCGTAGACCGCCACAACCGACGCCACTTTCGGAGGAGGTAAGTGAAATCAGCGAATTCCTCTTCAACGTACCCGACGCAATAGATTCCGTATCTCCACTGGAGATACCAAGATTATTGCCCAGCAGTTGTGTGTTCGTGGTATTCCCGAGGTAAATAACACTACCACATGTACTTTCATTGCTTCCAACATTGCTGTTGTTTGCAACACCACCGTTAACGCCGCCGCCGCCGCCACCTCCGTCACTGTCGTAACCCGACTCGTTCGAACTTAGACAACTACTTAATCTTTGGTAAAGTGGTTCCCAGTCCTTGGAGGAGAGGCTGTTGTTGCGCGACACCATCACCTCGCCGTTCACATACACACCGTTACAAGCGCTTGCACCAACAGCAGCCGTAGTCTGCTGTGGCGAGCAATTGCTGATCGCACTGTCGTCCGATGAGTAGCGCTTGATCAGGGCGCCATTCCGATAAATCACCTTTTGCTGGTGATTTGGAGAAGTGCTTGCCAGCGATATTGAGTCCAAAGTGCCATCGGCCAATGTCGTTACATCACTGGGTAGCATTGACGTGGAGTTCCGATGTTGTCGTGTTGGTGAGCGTTGCTGACCCGCTTGCATATATTGCACCGCCGCATGATGCAGCTCTTGTAAGCCGCCGGTGTCCATTGTATGTAGACTGCTGAGTGATGGTTGCTTCATTACCGAACCGCCATTTTCTTCCGGTAAAACGGAGAGTCGCGAGCGTAGAAATGCGTAGGGAAAGGCGCCGCGTCGGTTTGTTGACTCTTGACCGGCCGCGCCGCCCTGACCAGTAGCGGGCTGCGATTGTGCGCTCAGCGATGCGTCATCACCATTCGGCGAGGTGCACGTGCCTACTTTGGCGATGTCATCGCAGCTGCTCGATTTCAGATTTGTCACGACGTTTGTAGTGCCTTTCTGCAGCTTGCTCTGGCGATTGTTTGCCAAGTTCAGACCCTCCGTGGGATCGTCACATTTAATGTACGAAGAGCTGGTCAGCTGACTAGTGGAACTGCTGCGGTATAGATTGCTGCCGGTCGCTCCACTCGGTTCGGCGGCTTTAATCAGGTTATGTGACTTGTGATTGAGCATGCCGGTGGATCCGATGCGATGGAAGAAATTCTTGATCGCCTTCTGTGAGCGTTGTTGCGTGTTCGACTGTGTGCTACTGGTGTGACTGCTGTGTTCCTTCGCTTTCTCTTGTTTTTGTTGGTTCTTATTGTGTGCCTCGCCATTTTGCAATTGTTGTTCATGCAGCGAGTTTTGTTGTTCTCTTTGATCTTTCTTTTGTTGTTGATTCTTTTGTTGCTGTTTGATGGTCTCGATGGGTCCAGATTTGCATTTCTTCAGCGTATGCGTTTGATAGTTGTCCTTAGCATTATCATTGTTATTATTGTTGTTGTTGTTATGCGTAGATGTGTGAAACAACGAACGCAGGTCTGTGTGTGACTTATGTGTGTTTGTGGTGTCGCTACGTTTCAATATATCCAGTTTACGGCCCATGCGCTTGCCCCACGTGAAGACTGGAAGGATTAGAGAAAGAGAGTTAAAAATGCTATGAAAATTCAAAGACTTTGAAACATTTATAGACAATCTTCAAACTGCGAAAGTAAATCCAGAATGCGGAGACGACTTAATGCTAGTATAATCCGCATTTTTTTGAATCAAATTATATATAAATTATCTTATTTAATCGAATTTTGTGCAGACAAACGCGGAATAGGAACTGCAGCCGCTAAACTGTGCAATTCGATTTACCTTTCTTCAGTTCTTGCACCTCTTTTCCTGCCATGCATCAAAGCGCTAGCGTACCGACCCATATAGCTGACCTAATTCAGCATAGCGCTAATCATACAGAATTCAAACAAGCCTGGAGACATGAGATCGCCTACTACTTAACTCCGCCGCTAATTCATCGTGGCTGCCACAAGCTTCTTCTCACCACTCGCCATTCTAATTTTATCTTTGGCATCCAATCTAATTTCGAACGACTACAACAGCGATTAGCCGCTGGTTAGCTGTTGAACAGCTTCTGAAAGCACGCCATACTCCGCCCTCGAAGCTAAGAAGGCGCAGGCAGCGCAAAGAGGAAACAAATAAGCGTCTATGCAATGAATACAATTTGAATATTCAAAGCTCCATGCGCCGCCAGTAAACAATTGCCAGCGTTGCTCAGGTATTGGTGCGCTTTCCTTGCGCGCATACATACATTGGTCGCGTGGGTCGCGATGGGACCATTAATTATGTTGCAGCCGTCATTGGCTAGCAGGCAGCAAGCGAACAAAATAATTGACGCTTGTAAATGAAACAATGCGCGGCATTAAAAATAGAGAGAAAAAAAAAGGAGAAGAGCGTCTTATAGACAAACAAGCGGCATATGTCCAAGAGGAATTGCTTGACTGGCTGCATGATTGGTCGTCCGCCTGCGCACCCACTTAGAAATGTTTAATACGAAGACGATTTGTTGTTGTTAGAGCGAAGACGGTGTAGTCTAACGAAATCTGCATCAAATCAAATGGTTGAAGTAACGCGGCAACCTCGCTGCAAAGCGAATGCTTCAGCGCAGCTGTCGCAGAATTTGTTGTGCCGACGCACTGTGGGCATTGATTGATGAAAAGTGGAATTATGTTAAAGGGATACATTTTAGAATGCCGTTGCTGCTTAAAATATTTAAAATTAAATACACATCAAAATTGCAGAGCTATTTTCAGGTCCTAACTTCGGGTTAATAAACTTTTTTTAGAAGTGTACAAAACTGTACAAATGAATGACTTGCAACCAGCAAACTTTTGATAGTATAACACCACTGTGTGCCTTTGCAATTCCAGCCACACGACAAAGCAAAAAATTACAAAAATTAATATATGATTTTTTTCGCCTGAAAAAAGTTATGCTATCAAAAGCCGTTCACCGTTCGCAAACAAAATTGTCGATTATGTTGCATGCGCCTGTATGGCTCTAAGACACAGCTGCGAGCGGCAAAAATCCAGAATCCAGAATGGCAAATACATACATGGACACATGTATAAAGGCGGCGTTTCGTTACTGCTTTCCATGCCACACAACAAATTGTTGTTTTGTTAGCACTGCTCTACATTCTGTTGTTTCAAGTTATCGGTATTGATAGGCGAGACGCACGGCACACTTCAACTCACACTTTTATACATACATACATGCACGCGCGCGCGCTAAGCGGACGCTTAGCCGCCTAAAGACTTCAGAAACCTTGGTTCAGTAGAAGCCGCAACAATGCTGAGCTTAGCGCAACACGTTGGCCTGCTGCCTGTCGGCGCGTCGCTTGTTGACGTTCACTACGTCCTGCCGCCCTCATTTTGCCGTTAAGCCGCCAACACAATCACCGCGTCTGCGCATTCCTGCTAGTCGGAAGACTATTTTATGCCAATTTTTTTATCTCGATTTTGTGCTCTTCATCAAATCAAAGCCATTTGTTGCTGCCAATTTCATTTACATATAAAAACTTGGGTATGCCGCATACCAGTATAGCGGCGGTCTGCATGCGCAGTTGGCGCCGCATCCTTTGCGGTTACTTAGGCGGCTTCTTACAAGCTCCGAAAGTGCCGCTCATTCTCATTCATCGGCCTGTCCGTCGCTTGGCTTGTGCGGCTGCAAGACGCTCCATAGCATTCTGCGCAGCGCCGTAACGCCTTTGACCGCATGCGCAGCACGTGTCCGCTTTGATTACTTTTGCCATTGGCGCACATTTAGCATTAGTTGCTTGTTATTATTATTATTCTGTATTGATGTAGTTGTTCTTGTCATTTATTATTTTTGTTATATGTGAGCGGCTTGCGCTGTGTGGTGTTCGTGTGGCACATTGGTGTCATCGTTGCAATTGTCTGTTGGCTTCTAATTTAATATTGATTGCTGTTGATGGCAATGGCGGTGTGATATTGCCATATACTAGTTATAGCTGTCGTTTGTCAGTGTTCTGCGCGTTGTTGGTGTTGTTGTTGTGATGTTACTATTATTTGCTTGCATTATTGCCATTGGCGTCCGCTTGGTGTTGCATTCCAACCACTCAATCGGACTAAACCAATCGCTGAAGTGGAAGAAGTAATTGCACAAATTATATTGAAAGTTTTGTTAGCAGCTTTGTGATTTTGTTGTTGCTCTGCAATATCTCTACTCTTCCAGATAAAGCAGAAGAATTTACTACCGTTGTTGGCGTTGAAGTGTGAGCAATTGGCATCTTGTTGTTAGTGTTGGAATTAGCAACACAACAAAGCGTTGGGGAAAAATGTAAGCAATATTTTTCTAAAGCCTTCGAACAGACAAAAAAAATCCTCTGTGGAGAGAGAGAAATTGAGATATAAAGTTAACGGACAAGCTATTCTAGCCGCTATTCAATAATATTCCACTAACCGCATAAATAAGCTGACAAAAAAACTTAAGCGCAAAGTAATCGAGTCAAAAATTGTCGATAAGGGCAGCCAAGAAAATAACTAAAATTGAGTAAAAGTCAACAAAGTGCTTTAAGAGAGCATATTAATGCGGTTCTTTGTACAACAGTTGCAATACTGTGCAGTAAATTCATTTAAGCTAGCGTATGCCGTTATATTCGCTAGTTAATTGATTTAATGCTTTGTCCTTAATCTATGGTACCTTTCTTTAAATAGATTATGGCGCAAATTTACAGGCAACCATTTAAAACAGCATTCTTACACGCTGAACTTGCGCTCGTTAAAAATTATATTTATTTGCGCTCCCCAAGTATTTATGAGTTAAAACGGCATATTATGCACACACATGCCAATATAAATAAAAGGAATAAATGACAGTTATACAACGAATTAAATACTTTCCGTTGGAGCGCCAAACTTTGCACACCAAATGGTCTTCTACAAGTAGAGACCAATAGTCGAAATATTTCGCGGCAATAAAATGTTAAAAGCCCTCGCTTAGCGATTGGGAGCGGCGCAATCAAGCTATCGCGTTACACATTTTCGAAGACATTGCAGCGAATAAAAATTTCTAAAGTATTATTGTTGTGGTGAAAAATGAAGAGTTGCCCGTTAAAAGAGTCGCGCAAAAATTCTTCACTTTCCAGCCACGACTGGTCACAGCCAAATGCTAAGATGTTCTGGTTACACACATGCATGCATACACATCGGCATTCTTTCAGGCAGGATAATAGGTGTGTGGGTGCGCTTGTGCAGAGAGCGGAGAAGAGCAACGGAGGTTAAAATCATAATTTGTGTATTGACACAAAGTGGGCTTGACACGCGACACATTCGATCGTAATTTTACAATTTCATTTGCCTCAGTCCGAATTTAATACGTTTTGGTGGGCGTTGGTATGCCTGGTGTCCCATTGGGAATGTGCTTCATGAAATTTTGTATAACAAACACAAATGGAGTTACATAAATTAATAAAATATATCTCTGATTAAAGTGGAAAATTAGTACGCGTTATTAAGCACAATTTCTGTATAGTTCAATGGCGCCCATTTTCGATACCAGTTGCTTATTTACTATTTGATAACAACTTCGACAATGACGAAGGCCGAAAATCATTATATTTATTATATGAAAAATTAGGAAAAAGTATGGATCGTTGTTATGCACTTTTGAACTCGATATCTTTCTTGATACTTGAGTTATAAAGTATAGACGTTAATAGCTGTTAGCACTGCAGAGGTCCTTCAATATGGAATAGCCATTACTTTTACACTTTCCAATTTGTCAAGTACTTTATGAGTTTTGAAATTTCTTCTAAAAGTGGCACTGGTGCAAGTCGCGCATAGTTTAGTCTAATAAAGTGAGAACTACGCACAGTAGCCTAATCAACTGACCAGCCTTACACCATGTTCCGGCCGTTACTTAATCAAAAGATTTAGGCTGTTGAGTAGATTATTGCACTAAACTAGTAGATTACGCACGATTTCGCCATACAAAAACGACACTTGTTAAACTCGTCACCGAGGTGATTTGAATCTAATTAACTCGATAATCTAAGGTGCGACTTTGATTTAGCGCCATCTGTTTGCCATATTTTGTTTTACTACACTGATTTTGACGCTACAAACTGTCAAAGTGAAAAAAATTATGCAAACAAATAAAGTAAGAAGTAAAAAATTACAGCAATATCAAGTAAATAAGTGAAAATGGCAGAAAATAGTATTAAAACAAGGACAGTAATGTGGAGTGAGCCTACCCAAGCCGATCTGATACGAGTTGTGGCGAGCAAAAATAACACAGCTTCAATCGGCTAGTCAAAAACAGCTGTTTTATAAAACTCCAACGGCGGTGAATACAGTCTAGATTAGTGAATAGTTTAAATGTAATCTAATCACTGTAAAATTTTGATCGGAACATTGTATAAACTACGACACGTGCTTTTCCTCAAGGTCACCACATTTTGTATTGCTATACAGCGCTATTTATTTTGAAACCACAAGCCGTGTTTAAATTTATAAATTACATATACTTTGCAAAAAAATTTTGTTGATTTTCTTTTTAATTAAATTTATAATAATTTTTAACCAGACCTTTACTTATGAAATGTTTGTTCTCCTTTTTTATATATGATTTTGCATTGTTATCATTTAAACAGAACTCTTCTTCTTCAGCTTCAGCTTCTACATCCATATTTTTTACTTCAATCTCGTTATCTGTTAGCATATCCTTGTCCATTACTGTTTCCGGCTTCAAACCTTTGTGTTTTGCGCACTTTTGTTGTGCTTGCTTTGGCCAAGGTCGCTTGGCAGCTTTGACCTTGAAGCGTAGACAGGGCGCTATGTGCTTGATTTTCAAACGCATTTCAATTTCACAATCTTCGTTAAGTTCTTGAGGCTGCCGGTTGTTTTTATAAAGTTTACGCTCGCAGGTTGAAAGTTTTTTGGCTGAAACATGTTCAATATTTTCATTTATTTTTCACTGATTAGGTCTGCGTGGTTGCGACGTACGCGTACAACTGACGCGGCCGCGGCCAAGCAAAATGGCAAAAAGCCACTGTTGTGGGTGTTTTCGGTTTTGACTTTAAAACTATGCGAAAATGAACTTTAAGAAATGCAAATGAAATACAACTTTAAGCACAGCTCAGCAAGCAAACTGGTTCGCCGCCTGATAAATGTTGCACGCGTGCATTGTATGCAAATTTTTGACGTTGTTGTTGGTACTGTGTTATATGCGCTTACTTAGTGTGTGCAGCGCTGACGCGAATTATTTTAATTTCCATTTAATTTGACTTAATTTCGATCATTCGTAGTCGTCTGCATTCATGCGCAGACAAACAAACAAACAATCGTATTTATCTATGTAAATATATGTACTTGTAGCTATGCATGTAACTAGTATCACTGCGTGTAAATTTTTTTAATGTGTACAACAAAAGCATATACATATTTTGGGTTTAAAGTAAAGGCTAGGGCGCTCAATATCAACTTATCGACGCGGTGAATTAATCAGACGCCAGGAAATACAAATATTTTGCTAGTGCAGCCAAATCTTCGAGCTTTTGTTGTCGTGAGACCCTCTGCTCATGGAGATTATTTACCACGCGCTCACGGCCTTAATTTGTATAAAATTACTCAGACGTAGCGTCTCGGCCCAAAACCTGCTAAGCTCGCGTGTCTCATCGAAACTTTTATACGCCTTTTTATCAACAAGTTCAACGCGCTCCTATTTTTGTAAGTTGTGTTTTTTTTCTCGTCTTTTTTTAATTTTTGCACATTTTTTATTTTATTATTATCAATTCCATTTTTTCTTCATCTTGAATAGCAAAAATGTTAAGTTCACATTTGGCTTCGGGGCGCTGTTAAACATTCAAAGACAAAATATTTTTTCTTTTGTTTTATTACTCGTTTTTCTTTGGCTACTGTGTTATGTAATTACCGTTGATTCCTTAGGTTTTGATTGTGTCTGACGGCTGAGGCTTGAAATATTCATGGCTTTGTCAATCATTTCTTACAAAATTACGTATTTACGCTTAGTTATGACAGATATAGTTTTTTTTTGTAGATTTCGCGGGTACTATTGGACCGACTTTTTTTAAATTTTATTTATTGCAAGAACTTATAGACGCACGGATAATTAACACCAGGTGCCAGATTTATACTAACAGATATAACGCTAGAATTGATCTCGACCATATTTTCGGGCATTCCAGCAGATTTTAGCGCGTTGCCAGCAAGGTTATTAGCTCCAAGTTTGCCGAAGAATATGCTTGTGGGCTCTGTTGAAGCTCTTTATGAAGAATAATCGCTGAATGAGTACGCACTCGTTATCTTTATGAGAGCAGACATGTGCAAGGTTTTCTATTTTTAGTCATACAGAAGCTAATAATTTTGAAAAGGTAATTAATTACGTAATTTATAAAGTTAGCTTTGATGAAATAGCAGACACTCCCAAAATGTTTAATTGACGAACTCAACTCAATTTGGTTCATAAATTCTATCAAAATAGTTGCCTTATTTATAAATGTACGAAGAGAAGCGAGAGCAAAACGGATACAAAAGTTATATCTTAGAGATCTTATTAGGTATATTTGGACCGCGTGAGTTTTCCGACTTTTCCGAGGCTGTTATCATGGGACCTCATCATAAGTCCATGAAGACAACTTATAGTTTTTATCTAATTAAAAAAATATATAAATATGAAATTGTTTCAACAATCCAGTTGCAATTTGATGAGACGTTTTTTGGCTGTCTTAGAGACTTTTGATTAGGGAAGCAGAAAAAATTTCTTGTCTATAGAACTAGCTCTTTTGCCGAATATAGTATAAGTATGGAATATGGTAAGAGCATCCTTATATCCTTATATTGTGCTTCTGATTCCACAGCTTAGAATTTGTTTGCTGTACTCAAGCAAATATTGCTTAGTCGCATCTATTAATTTTGATTTGATTTGAAAAGCTAACAAAGCTACGATAAGTATTTGCGTAAATTTTTGCTTCAACAAATTGGTTATTTAAATTTGACATGCGAATTTATTTTCCACAGAGTCATTCGTTAGTGTGCTAATGATGAATTAAGTGGGTTTCGTTAGCTTGTTCAGTGAATATTTCTATTTCCATATTTGTATTATGAATTTTAGTGATTGACAAGCAGGGATCTCTGTCAACATTGAGTTGAAGACTCAAAAAAAAAATTTAATAAGTTATCAAAATACAAAATAAGTCACTTCCGCAATAAAGTTGATAATTTTTTGCATCGAAACTGTGGAAAAGTCTAAAGATGATTTAATCTATACAATCTATATTATCTAACGGCTGGCAACGGTTTATTTTTCGCTGTTGGGCGGTTGTATATTATATTTTTATTATTGTTTTTTCTTTATTATTTTTATTATTCATGCATACATATGTTGTGCATATTATATAATAATTTTGAATTCAAAACAAAAAAAAAAACAAGTATAACTGACTTCAGTGCTCCTACTGAGCATGCCTTGATTTGTTGTTTGTATTGTTGTAAAAACACAGAATGATTTCTTTGTCTGCAGATCGCCACAGTTGATTGGCAAGAAAATTAAGGCAATTTGCAGTTAATAAAAGCACATGAGAAATGAAGGCGCAACAGAGTAAAGAGTAAAAGATCGAGTTAATCATACAAGATATCCAATTTAAAAGAATAAAAGTAACAGAATAAAAAATAATCGCATTTCTATGAATGTGTGTTAACAGAGCAAAGTTGCTGGTGAATTGCGCTCAGCAGTGCTAGTGATGTGAGCATCGAGAGCAATTGCTACAGAATAAGGATTTTGTGTTGGGAAGAGTACACGCAGAATCTTAGAATGAAATATAAGTATTTATTTATACATTCTGGTGAGTGATATTACCCAAAAAAAAAAGAGACCCCTCAGGTTCGGGATTTAGCAACGTTATAAGCAAAGGATTGACAGCAATTTGGTTACTCATGCTAAAATTTATTGTCTAAGGGGTAAATAGTATCAGGTAATGACGCAAATTGTCAAATGGTATATGAAACTTTTTCTGATCGAATTATATCAATAAAATGTGCTTGTAAATTAAACTCATGAATTAAGCAATTTGATTCTGATAAATTAATTTTTTTTTGTTTACTCGTGAATTGAATAATCTATGGTGATAAGTTAGCTGCGGCTGACTTATTGTAAAACAATATTCGGCGGCCCTCAAGCAATGAGACAAATCCCGCTTGCTGGCATTAGTGTTGTAAATGTGACAAGTGATTTGCTATTCAAACGCCAAAAAGCTAAAATATTGACTATTTCATTAATATTTCTGTGTTTTATTTGATAAAAACTTTTATAGCCATAAAATACTTATAATTATACCCACAAATTTTGAAGTAATAAAAAGAGAAGAATTATATATTTTTTCGTTAAAAACAAGCACTACCATGCGAGTACCGAATAAAAAGTGCTCAACACTATCCACACAATCTGAGTAATGCGCATATTTATGTATGTAGGTATGTGCTTAGTACCACTTAATGTGTTTGTATTGGAAAGGAAACTGTAACAGAGCAATAAATGCAAAATAATAATCTTCACACTCGTACGTGATCACAGCAACAAAAATAAATAAATACATGTGCATTTCTTAAATTGTAGAGAAATTTCAGATAATTCGAAGCCAGCAGAAATCAAAGAAGATTCGCTGTTTCTTTGTACAATAGTTTTCTGTGTGAGTAAGTTTGTGTTTGCAATGTGGATGTGGTACATACAAACATGCAAAAATGCAGTTTTCGGCACTTTTTTCGCAATGCTTAAGATTACAAACATCCGTTGCACACTGTGCCGTTATCTACATAAATAAAGCCAAAATCTAAATATTACAACAAGAGCAACTCCCATTTGTGGCGTATAAATGTTGTTGAAATGACGCGTGAGAAACAGTTCTGCCACGAAAGCTGTTGCGGTTGGGCGCCACCATGTGGCAAGCAATTAAAGTAATTTTGGTAAATACTTAATAAAATTGAATATTGAATATTTTACTTTAGTTAAAATAGTTTTTTTAAAGAAACATTTTATTTTCGTCGAACTTCTATTTCACTCAACTATATTTTATACTCTTGGGTGAGGGCTCGCTATATTCGTAGCTCTACACAACTCTCTGCGGTGTTGTTTATAGTTGGTTTTCTGATTCCGTTTTTTGTTTTTTAATTTTTTTTCTTTGCACTCCTATTAACCACTAAAATTATTAGTGTAATTTTAAATATTGAAAAGTACTCACCATTTCTTGTTGCGCTATTGGCAGTCATGCTCGCTGTGGCTGTTGTTGTTGTTGTAGCGGATGTTGTTGAGGTCGTCGTTGCACTTGCAGTTGTCGTTTCGCCGTTTGAAGTGGTTTTCTTTTCGTCATCCAATATGACAACAGGCATTGCGGTGACCAATTGATAGTTGGGCAAATGACCTGAGATGAAAAGAAAGAAGTTTGTGGTTCAAAGAAAGTACGCGCACGCAACATAAAAACCATTTTAAAAATATTTCCTTTTTAACGGAAATTTAAATTTACTTTGGTTTCGAATTGCTAGAGAAAGAAAGTAGTATGGGATCGAGGTATATACACACATATTTATATCTTAACAGCTCAACTAGCGGAGAAGTACTAAGAGAACTAGCTTACCGAAAAATGTATCGTATGCTCACCGGCGTCGGAATAGAGCGATTGTTGTAGGCGGTTAGTCGATTTTTCTACTTGCAACAAAAATATTTTGTGATCTCAGATCGTTCACATTTAAAATAAAGAACAGGGAATAAGCATTTCTTAGAATGTATGTACAGTCAAACGTGTTTGAGAGAGAGTTCAAGAGACCATGATTTTTTGCTCGCTTACAGAGGTAAATACAAAAGTGGCTTCCAGTTATAGAGGTCAGAGTGAGAAAAACGACTGTCACTTATGAAGGTTTTTGTTTCTCACTCAAAGAGGGTTTTGCGAGGTCAAAGTTCGGGACCTGAGAATTATTCTCACATATAGAGTTTTCTCGCTTACCCAGTTCTCTCTTACTCAGGCGTGACTGTATTTATGTATGTATATACTCGCGTGGCATATTTAAAATTATTTTTTTTTATGACAACACTTACCGTTTGACGCCAACAGCGATATTGTTGAACCATTGCAACTTTTCATTGGTGTGACACCGCCGCTACCAGCGCCGCCACCGCTACCACCACCCTTGTCGCCATTTGGCATCAATGAAATATTGTGGCAACTCGCATTTCGGCTTTTCTCGTAGATGCAGCTACTCGATGACGAGCTGTTACGTTGGTGCCCCAAAGTCTGCTGTCCGAGTTTTTGGTAATAATGTTGCGCTGTCGCAATATTATTGCTGCTGCCACCATAATTCACCAACAAAGTGTTACTTTTGCACTTGCTGCCGCCTCCACCTCCACCGCCGCTAACAGCAACGCCACCACTGCCATTTTGAAATAAGTGTGTGGTGCTATGGTGTTGCTGTTGTTGCTGCTGTTGATGATGGTGATGCAATCGCTGCAGCGCAGCATCATTTAATGAAGCCACCGACAGCGCTGACGGTGTTTGACGTCCGCTGCTATTGAGACTGCTGTAGTTGTGTGTGTAGCTGCCACCCGCGCCAACACCTGCGGCCGGTGAATGCGTTTGTGTGGAGGCGCCACTATTGCTGGCACTAAGCACGCTGACGCTGGTGGGTGTGCGCGGTGTGGGCGTATGGCTAGCGCTCAGATTGGTACAGCTTAGTATCATAACGGGCGAATCATGCAGATCGGGTAGTGAGGATGAAATGGATGTGCTGCCGGCGATGGTTTTGCTGAATTTGACGGCGCATGTTGTGGCGATCGGTGTGGGTGTGGCGCTTTGTGTGCCGTTATTATAATGCTGCTGATATGACGTATGAATGCTGGTAGTGTTGGTGTTAGCGCTGCCAAATGTGTCGATGGACTTGCGTGTCTTGAAGAGGCGCATAGTTTAGACTGCCGAACGGCGCAAGTGATTAGAACAATGCTTCAGTGGAATGTTCGTTGGAATTGTTAGCGTTTTTTGTTATTATCTTTCAAACACTGAAAAATCGAAAAGGATCGGGCGTGAAAATTATTAGAAGTTATTTAAATAGTTTCTTAACATTTTTACAATAAACATTTGCTATTGAATATATACATAGGTTAGTTGGCTAAATTTCACGAACGGCATATTTTGATAATTAGTGACAACAAAGTAGATTGTAAATACTTTACTAAAGGCTCAAGCGTCAATGTAGCCAGGCTTGTACTCTACCCCAGCTTCTAAACGCGCTTTTAAACAACTTCAACTATGCTTCCTGTAATTTTATTTATTTTTTCATGAATGAACTCGTAATTTTCTTTCAGAACTGTCTGCTTTTAACACGCTTCGCATAACTTCAAATTTGTTTCCTAAACTACGAAATTCCTCAACCGCAAAACTGTGCCGTCATGCCTGAGAACAGTTTACTTCCTTTAGCTGCATTTTCACAGCACGCAAATAAACACTCTCACCTTTTTTTTTAATGCGCTAAAAAAGTAAAAACTGAAAACGAAATTCTCATGAGAAAAAATGTTGCACATGCAAACAGGCGAGCAAGCGGCGCGCAGAGTCATTGAACGACCTCAAACTGCAATCCCTGGCTGCTGCTGCGGTTGCCACCGGCACTAAGCTGTTTAAAGCCCACCTTTTTTCATTATTAGGTCGATTGCTTGGCACCGCAATTCGGCGGTAATGGTCAGACCGCCAGCCGCAAACCGCATTGCATCGTGCAACAGCCCGGCATGCCACACAATTGTGGTAAGAATTTTGCGCTTTAATTTTCATTCTCAGACTACAATGCGTATTTTGTTTTCTACTTGTTGCATGCCGCAAGCGCCAGTGCACCGCATAGCGCTTAGCTCTGCAGCTACAACACGAGCACGTGCAATAATTTTTCTATGCTGCTGTTGCTGTTGCTGCTGCTGCCGTAACAAGCGTTTACTTGCCGGCAGCTGCTTGGAATGCAACTCCTATTTTATATAGTTGCACTGCCGCGACAGCGACGTAAGCATGCAACATATGCCACAAATTATACGAGTTCACTGCTACACCCCGCTGCCACCACAACATATCTATCTAAACCGCCTCTGCTAGTCCTGACTGCATTTTGGAGCGCTTTAACATTTTATTATTTTATTTTTCTGAATGTAAACAAAATGGTAGAAAAAAAAAACTTGTGGCAACACAAATCATTATGAATTTATTCCATGCCATGCTGTTGGCGCAGTTACTGCTGCACACCCTCACACACACACACATAGGTATGAGCAGATTTTTTCACACCTATTTGTGGCTGCTGGCATTCCCTTTCTGTTTTCCGTTTATTTATTTCTCATATTCATTATCTAGGCACAAATACAACAAATACAAGCATCTATATATATGTGTACATGTTGTTGCACTATTTGTATATTTCCTTTTTCCACAGGTTGCTTGAGTTAGTTTTATTGCCATGTTGAACTGGCAAGTCCGCATTCTTTCAAAGGTTGCCAACTTCAAAGTGAATTGTCCGTAACCGTGTCTGTATTTATTGCTGTGGTCTATATTATGCATGTTCAGCATCCCTGTAGGAATTTTATTTTAAATAAAAGTTTTCAAAATTTTCTATGTGTTTTTAAAAGAGTTCGACTGGAGGCAACTTATTTATTTTTAAATATTATAAAGATCGGTCAAGCCTTTTTTAAAGAATTTCAAACAGAATAAATTAAAAAAACCGAATAACTTGTTTAAACATGTTTCCAGTTTAAAATAAGCTGCTACTGCTAATTTTAGTCAACATTTCTTAATTAGGCATTATTTAGCGCCAGCGATATTAGCTAAATTTAGTTAAAATGAAATGGAAATGTTTTATGACATAAAACTGTTCCCACTTACAAATTTGTGCTTAGCTTCGACTGGTAGGACTGCTCGTACCAAAAATCATTTTTAAATGCTATTTTGATTCCTAAACCAACTTTTAGAACCACAAAAATCTGTTCCCAGTCTATTTATGGCAAGGTTTTAATTTTTATTATTATTATTTTATTCTCAACTGCAGACAAAAAAACTCAAATTTTGCCTTTCATTATGAAATATCTTCACTGTTAAAAAGTTCCTAATGGCCAGCTCGCATAGCGAATAATCTTTAATACTTTATCATTTATGTCTATGAACTGCGTTACACCATATGCATGTATATATATGCATACCTTGCGGCAAGTGGCTTGCGGACTTGCCTACTTTGACTTGCCGAATGCCTGCCTTCTCACATGCAGTGCCACAAACTCTCCCTCTCACTTCTGTTCTCAGCACATAAATTCCTAGTTTTGCCAAGGCACAAATTTTCATATTTTTACTTTTTGATTTTCGCACTTTTGCTTGCCGTCTACCTGCCGTTCTGCTTTTATTTCTTTGTTCGTCGCGCTAAGCACACGCATGCGCACATAACGTGCAACCACTTGCACGCAAATTGCGTTGCATTCGTTTTCCTTTGCAACGCGACAGCACGCCAGCAATGTGGGCGTGCGCTGCAACCGGCATTTTGTTGCAGTTCTAACGCAACCAAAGCGGTTAAACATTTAACTTGCCGGTTTAAATGCGGCAAATGTGGAATTTACAACATTCTTCACTTTTCTCAACTTCATTACGTATATTTTTGTATATTTCTTGAACACATTTTTCTCGTTTTGACTCGGTGTCTTTTGCCTTTGTTGTGTGTGGAATTTCGTTTTGGGGACACCGTAACTGCGTGGCATTCTGAGGTCGTTTGTTGGTGGCTACTGTGCGCTGGTGTTGCTTTATGGCTGCTGTGGTTTCTTTGTTGTTGTGCGTTGTTGCGTCATGGCTTTGGTATGCGATAAGCTGTTGACTTAATCCAGGCGCTAGCTTGTAGTGGTGTGTATCATTGGTGGGAAATTGAAAGTGCTTACGTCTAACGCGCACTAGGCTCAAGCAAGTCATAAGAAATTTTCATAAATGCATGTGAGGAAATGTGTAATAGTTCTACTGTTTTAAATTAGTCTAAAATGATTTTAAAAAAACTGTTCACACTTTATAAAACTGTTCATAATTTTTTTTGCTTTCTTTCTGCTTACGTTTTAGTACTATTAGAATGCTTTCCTAACTTTGCGCCTTGCAAACTATTACCACTACCAAGTTAGATGAGTGTAAAATACTCAATTTTATTGCAAACCTGCTGCAGCAAGTCCAGCTAAAAATAAATTTACAGCCAATTATTTTTTCTTAATTAAATATGTAACAATTTGCATTTTAGACGCCACATGACACATTCTATGCTGGCTGCTTCTTGCACTACCTTACGCTGCCACTTACACTTGGCATATATACATATGTGTGTGTTATCTCCTGAAGTAGCTGTAATTTAAACTTTTTTATTGCAACGCGCAGCAGCCGGTGGTAACAACAATACAGTAGCCGCAGCAGCGATGACTATGTCGATGGCATGCCAGACAAACGGGCCGGATTACCAGGTTATGGCCGGTGAGGAGGCGAGTACGGTCAGCACGATTTTTGTCGGTGTATGCGCTGCTGCCTGCTGCTGCGTTTGTGGCTGTCGTTGTTATTGATAAAGCTGCTGTTGTTGTTGTTGTTATTGCATTGAAAAGTTGCTGACCTTCAATGTAAGCGGCACCGCGCGCTATGTTGCAAGCCACAGTTACCATATATCAGAACATATGTATGCTTAAACACACACACACACAAACATACATACATACATCTGCATATTGTATAACGTGCTTGCATGGGCAAATGCATGAGTGTGGTGCTGTGTGCAACAAAGTAATATAAGCGTCCAAATGTTGTTGTCATTCGGTTGATATTCGATTTCTTTATGCGCTATTGCATTGCCAGCGACTTTTGATATTTTTTTGTTTTGTTTATTTTTTGTTGTTGTGCCTGTTGCTGTTCATCCGTAACGGCTGCAACACCTGTTTGACAAGTTACCGTTGCCACTGGCATCCAACGCCTGGCTGAGCTTTTGCGTTAAGTACTTTTGTTGTTTTTCATACACCGTTGTTGTTGTTGTTGTTGTTGCCATATGTTTGTCTGTTTGTTTACTGCTGCTTTTGTCTGTTGTCGGCAGTTAGTGGCAATGAGTGCGGCGTGGCTGCCTTGGCTGATGCTGCAGCCGTTCGGTCAGGTTAATTAAGAATCTTTAAATTCTTTTTTATTTTTGTTTTTGTAAATTTATGTGCAATGACTTTCCACCGCTCACTTTCATATGATAATTTATTATTTATGTTTTTGTAGTTGTGTGTGTATTAATTAGTTTTTTTCGTCTTCGTTTAAGCGCCATTCGAATGAGTCATCGGAATTGTTGCATATTAGGCTCGCTGTCAGATCTCAGTGTAAGCGGCCAGCTAGAAGATAGCTATGGTTTTCGTAGAAATTTTTTCTAGTATCTTCTTTTTTAGTTTGGCAATCGCCTATGAGGTTTTCCTCAACTCGCATATGAATGTGAGATCGTGGGTCCGAAGCTGAATATATGTATTTGACTGGAAAGTACAATTGGGTTTTCATCCGGCCAAGTGCAGTCGGCTAGGTAACATTTCTGAAAACTACTTGTGGAATATTTTCTGTTGCTACAACAACAAACCTATGGTTCTGAGAAGATTATGAAAGTCGTAAAATTAGGCATGTTTACTCTTTACTCACATAACTCTACTTACTAGAAATTATTTGCTATCATCTCTTCCTTCAGAAAAATGCTATGCCTCACTCGCTTCTAAAAATATAATAATTTATTTTCTTTGACTTCATCGAGCCGGTTTGCGGCAACACACTACCCTGCCGAGGTGAGCATGAGCATAGAAATATGTTGTTGTCATTACAGATCAGTGTCGACACCTGGTTAAATGAAGCAACACTAGCAAATGTCGCTTCGGCGATTGCATGTTATCTTGCATTACGTACTGCAACAATTTACTTCTGCTTGCTGCAAAATGTTGCAACATTGCGTCATATGTTGTTGGTATAGTGTTACAGGCGGCTATGCTAACACGCTTTGGCAAGGATCTGT